TTTTATTTTATTATTATGATTGATTATTTTTTTATGATTTGTTGTTGCAGACTAATGTCTATTAGCTAGCTCATGTTAGCTCTTTGCTAGCACTGTCACTTTTTCTGAATGAGAGATGCTAGCCATGCTAACCCTGTGTTTGTGTTACAGCTTCACTGAGCAGCTCACAAAAGACTCTGCCAAAATAAAAGCCCACATCCGCATGGTGCTGGAGGTCAGTTTCTTCTCAGGCAGATTATAGGACAGTTTTTATATAATAATAGTTTCTGTTGGGTGCAGGAGTTTTCCTCTGGCTTATACTTAAGTACTAAATAACTTGTTACTCATTTCTGAGGATTTTACCGTCAGTGAAGTTTGAACATTGAACTGGAAATAAAAAGTTTTACCCACCTGATGAAAAAAAATCAAGATCAGATTTGAATATGTTCAGTTAAAAAAACGTTTTTCAGTATTTACTGGTGACAAAAAGGTTAAAATAGTCAGATTTATCTGATTTATGATCAGATGTTAAAGAGGCAGGTAAAGAATCTGATTGGCTTCTCTTTTCTTCTTTATGTTTCCTTCAGGGTTTGAGGGAGCTGCAGGGCCTGGGCGACCTGCCAGAGACGGGTTAACGAAAGCCGGCTGCTGATGTCAACGGTGTGTTTTGGGAAAACAGGGTCAAGGAGAAGGAAAGACTTCAGGACTAAAGCCTGAAAGTCGTCACAGAGCTGAAGAGGAGGATTAGTGCCTGAGCCTTCTCAGAGTCAAAACTCACAGTCATGAAACACGTACACTCGACGTGTCTTTGTGTCTTTGTGAAACTCGTCTGTTGAAAATCAGAGAATATTCCTGTTTTTTGTTTTTTGTTGTCTTCAGTGTCACATTGAAAAAGGGGGCTGCTCAGAGATGATCCTGCAGCCTCTAAACAGACACTTTCAGTCAATATGACAAACCTGATCTCATAGGTTGAAAATAATGTGACAGGAAGTGAGTGATGTTTCACTGTTTGGAGTTTGAAATAAATTGTTTTGTGAAAATGATCCAGACATAATCCATCCTTCGGTTTGTTGGACCTGTGCTCAAGGTGTTTCCTGGGTTTTCATAGAAATTCTTTGGATGTTTTACTGAATCTTTATTGAGAATTTCACTTTTTTTCCCTGACTAGCTGTTTTCTAAAGTTCTTTGAGAATGATCTGTTTATTCAGGTGTTTCAGGACTTTTAGCATCGTCCAGCCTCCTCCTGGAAACCCTGCTGAGGCTGATCCGACACCAGGATGGGTCCACGTTAACGGATGGTTACTCTCCTCTCCTGGTTCTCTCTTGAGCCATCTTGAAGGTTTCTCACCTGTTTCAGTGGTAACACAGATGTCTGTTCTCCTTAATCTTCTCTTTAATGCCCAACAAGTTGAAGGCTTTAGACACAACACCTCCTCATCCGGCCTCCACTGACACTTTGCTCTCCATTCAGCTTGCCGACAGCCGGCCTCTTCTACGGCGGTCAGCCATCCTCCAGGAGTGGGGCTGGTGACTCCCCTTTGCCAAACACGGTGTGTCTCTGGTTTCCACAGTTCGGTCCAAGTTCATGTTCTCTTTGATCCTGCTGCCTCATTCCCACCATCTTCCTCCTCGACTGCTGTTCTCACCTCTTCCTGGACTAAGCAACACGTCTTTCCCTTTGATGATGTCACAACAGGAAGCTGAAGAGGCTCCCAGACCAGCCCTGGCTGTTGCCATCACTCCCACCTGCTGCAGTCTGCTGCTCAAACAGCCTCCTCTGCCCCGCCGCCTCCCCCCTGTCCCCACTTCACACTCAGCTTTGGCCATATTTGGATCTCTGTACTGCCACACTTCTCTGGCTCTTTGAGCTTTTTGTACTATTTCTTTGTACGTTATTCCTCATGATAAACTTTTTGCATGTCAGTAATGTTTTCAATAATATTTTTAAATGATGTTCATTCATTTTATGGACTAATAAGCTTCCAAAACAGGTTTCAGTTATTTTAATATTTTGAAATATTTATTTCGCTGAACATGTGTCCATATTTGTCTTATTTTCTTATTGTTAGTACAAACGTAGTACAATTTTCTCTATGTTAGTACTTTTTAATTGTTTCTACTTTTTTAATAAATATGTTTCAGACATTTTACTGATTTGAAAAAACATATTTTACTAATATAACATTTATATGGAGTAATTTAAAAGATGAGTACAGCGACTGTACTCATTGTTGTTATCACGTTATAAAATACAAAAAATC